AATAAACTGTGATAATGTGAGAAATGTTGAAGGTGTCTGAATCAAATTTTGGTTTGATTGTATCTATTTGATAAATGAAGTTAACCAACTAACATTATACATACTATTTTGGTTTCTGTACCCAATATTTAAAAAATTTACAAATGCAATAAAAATATTGGTATAGGTACTCGGTATCGGTAAGTACCAAAAATAAAAGTATCGTATCGGGCGAGTACTGGAAAAAGTGGTATCGGTGCATCCCTAATAATTATGGATACCGAACGATATGAAACATTATATCGTTGATACATTTTTTAGCTATATCGCCCAGCCCTATTCAAAACATTGATAAATACTATAATATTATGTAAGTAATACTAAAATAACACTGTGTTAACAGCCGGTGTAAATGGAATGCTGAAGCTGACCTGTCTGGATGAAGGCGAGGCATCTCTAACGCGCTGGGCTATTTTAGCCAGAATATTGACCAGCCAGCATTGCCGATCAAACTCTTCTCTCAAACCACGACCAGAGCAGCAGAGAAGAGCCGCCAGCAGATACTGATACCTCACGCTAAACTGAGAGTCTTGAAGAGCATCTTTCAGCAACCTACAAAGAGAGAGACAAATGAACATTAGTATTATTAACCAATGATCCAACATCTTTAGTCAAGTCAAGTCAAGTCACCTTTATTTATATAGCGCTTTTAACAATACAGATTGTGACAAAGCAACTGAACAGCATTAATTAGGAAAATAGTGTCAATAATGCAAAATGACAATAGTAAACACTCATTTTTCAGTTAAAGACAGTTCATCATTGAATTCAGTGATGTCAACATCCAGCTCAGTTCAGTTTAAATAATATCTTTAGACCACTGATTTTCTAACACTTCAAGTTATTTATACAGTGAGATTCTACAAAGCGCAAGTTTAGATGCAAGCACAACTTATCTTATTCTGAACATGTAGTCTACTATTAGGATGCTTTAGAAAAATCCTCACGCTAAACTGAGAGTCTTGAAGAGCATCTTTCAGCAACCTACAAAGAGAGAGACAAATGAACATTAGTATTATTAACCAATGATCCAACATCTTTAGACCACTGATTTTCTAACACTTCAAGTTATTTATACAGTGAGATTCTACAAAGCGCAAGTTTAGATGCAAGCACAACTTATCTTATTCTGAACATGTAATCTACTATTAGGATGCTTTAGAAAAAATTTTTTTCCCGATTTAAACAATATAAATTTGATTAATATTTTATTATTATTAAAAGGCAGCACAACATGCTACCATGATGTATAAACACTTAAAAAAATTAAATATTGATAAATACATTTTTATAATGTTACAGTAATGAGAAAAACAGAATGTGTATTTTACTTGTAGGGTAAATTTATCTTAATAGTTCTGAATAGAGTGTCACAATGCCAAAGTACTAATTTTAATAATAAATATTTTTAATCAAATGTATTCTTTCCTCTTTAGGGGTAAAACGCAAATGTATTCATAAAGACTTTGAATAACCCTCAATACAGAGAAAAATACCTTATCTGTACAGCAGGTGGAGCTGTGAGCTGACTTCACATCAATCAGTATAAAACAGTGTGAATCTACATGTGCATGACTTTAACGTGTATAACATTTTTATGCATTCATGGTGCTGACTGGTTAATCTCATTAACTATATAAGGAATCAAATATCAGTTTAACAATGACAAATCTGAATGTGAGAATATGAGCCAGCATGACCAGATTTCTCAGTATGTGCACTCTATGCAAGGGCACTGGGTTTTTAAGTATAATCTGAGGGTAGAGACACACCAGAAGAGGTAGTGAGCAATGCGCATGTCCCCGATGGCCCTCCTCAGCAGAAAACGCACCAGGTGACTGTCCAGATAACACTCGTACTTCAGCGCCTGCATAAAGAGAAATCATTAGAGAGCAATTTTTTGGATGGGGAGGGAGAAACCAGAGGGTGAGAGAACAAAACGGACGGAAGGTAAAAGGAAAGACAGGTAGGATGTAAACAGATCAAGGTCAATGGGAAAGGAGGGAATAGAGTGAGAGCATGAAAGGAAGTGAGATCCAAGGCCTTCGCTACCTGCACTAACTGAGGAAGGAAGTCCAAAAGCTCAGGATCAGAGATTGAGTCCATCCACTGGACCGCTGTCCGCCTGCACTCTTGATCTGGAAACCTGGTTTATATGAGACATTAAAGTTATCATGAAATCAAAATGGACAATTCTTCCTTTTTCATATATGAAAACCTACTTTTATGGTGCTCTTTTTTGGCTAGCGGCCACTATAAAATGAATTTATAAATATTTATATGAAAAATATCAGTGATTCTTCAAAATAAAATGGTTTTACATGGTTTCTTTTTGGTTAGGTTTTGGTTTCTGGTTAGGTTAGTCAAGGGGACAGTTCACTGAAAACTGAAAATTGTGTCATCATTTACTCACCCTAATGTCGTTCCAAACCTGTATGACTGATTTTTTCCTGCTTAACACAAAAGATGATACTTGGAATAATGTTGGTAACAGTTTCGGTTCCCATTGGCTTTCATTGTACAAGCAAAAAATGCAATGAAAGTCAACGGGAACCGACACTTTTTTTTTTTTTTTTTACCAGAAATCTAAAAATATCCTCTCCACAGAAAATTAAGTCCGGTTTAGTCAGAGTAAAAGACAGAATTTTCAGCTTTGGGTGGACTCTCCCATCTTGGCCAACCTGGTTAGAGCTGGTAGACCACCCTGGTGGCTCTTGGTTAAGCTGATTTGATTTTTAACACTAACAAAGCTTTAAAATCATGTCAGTAAACGTCAAGAGTAGAGATCTGCACTCCACATGTGCTCTTCTGGACAAATGTAAAGGTCAATTCTTCATGGTCTACTCAAATCAGCCCAACTGCTAACCGCTGAAGGACAGTCAAGCTCTGCTTAGTCTCCAGCTGTTGCCATGGTTACCATAAGACTCACGTGGCGTTCAGCAGGCCTAGGGTGTCCAGGTGGTTCATGCATCCCCACTGGCGGAGCAGGGCATAGATGTCAGGAAGACATGCCCACTCCCAGCTGGGCGCACTGGCCAGGACCAGCGGCAGACGACTGGCTTCCACGTGGCAGAAATAACGCTTCTCCCACAATAGACGCCGGTCCTCTGGAGTCAACCTAGATAAATGGATCAACAATATAAGTTAGCAAAAACAGTAAACAAACGTGTATAGCACTCTCAAACTTATAAAACAAATATTTCAATAATAAATCAATTAGATATTTATATAAATAAAAAGTAAAGATATTGTATATGTATATTTTATATACATTTCTATATGAAAATTATATCTTACGCCAATAAATTATGCCACTTGCACTGGAAATTATTAAAAAATTGTCTAATAATTGTTTAATAATAATGATTAAATAATCCACAAAAAAATAAAATAAAATAAAAGTTTGTTTTATATGTTTTAGATATGTTTATCTTTGTTTTAATATTTTTTTTTCTTTATTTTGCAACATACTGCAAGTGATATACAATAAATACAAAATTGCAAAACTAATTAATTTATTTTATAAGAGCTGTACAAGTTTGTTGTTTTTACTTCATGTCGGCACAAACAAAATTGTTTATTTAAAATCATTAAAAAAATAAAAATAAAAAAGTGTTATATATACACACACCAGTATTTGTTTATATATATTATTTTTAATTTTAAATATTTATTTTGCAACATATTGCAAGTGCCATCATTTGACATGCCTAACAGATTATATATTATGATAATATATAATAAATACAACATTTTAAAATGTTTTAAAAATGTATTTTATAAGATCTGTACAAGTTTGTTGTTTTTACTCCATTTCGGCACAAACAAAACGTCAACTTGTCAAATAAAGAAATTTATTATTATTATTGTAATCATCACCATTATTATTAAACATATTATTTTTTTAGCGTTTTTCCAATCCATCGGTCTGATGGTCCATTTCATAGAAACGAATACATACATAGTTACAGACATTTCTCATGAGAGCTCAAGCATACTGCAAACATAAATGTTGTTTCCAGACACGCAGCCATGGTGTGCAATCCGTCATCTACACGTCATCATAGTCCAAAAACACAATTACCCAATCTGATAAAGCTTAAAAGTAATCTTTCTATCTTGACAAAATTAAGATGCTGATACAGCAATTAAGACAGTATAGCGTGTCCAGGAAGGTGTCTGTGCGTGGGCTCTCACTGCAGTAAAGGATGGAAAATAACCACACTCAATCTCAAGGTAATTTATGCTGCATGTTTTCTTCTACACTGATGTACCAAACCCACCGAGTCCAGAGGTAAACACTACAGAAAGCCAAGTTAAACAGAACTGAATTTTCATTAATATATATTTTTTAAACATGAGAGGATTAACAACAACTTGCAATAGCCTGTTCACATACTGATCATCACACCATCCATGCTTAAAAACACTTTCATCATGATGTGTTTGGGTCCTTCATGCTGCTCATCTCATCTATGGAAACTAGCATGTGAGCTGGTTGGATGTCATTTGTTAAAGCAGAGACACTGTTTAGCTACTGCGTTCTTCGCTGGCTTATGAATTCATTTTGGGGAGTGGTCTCTCCCTCTAGGGATGACAGCCGTAGGGCAGGACCCCCGGATCAAATTACCTCTGCACCTGCTGGGCTGTAACCATAGAGTCATCAAACAGCTCAATATACTGGGGGAAGGGTTTTGAAAGCCTCATACGGTCACACCCTCGCTCTTCAGGGCAACATGCAAACACTACTGTCATTAGATGACTACATATCCCACAATTCACAAGAGGCTGGAGGAGTATTGATTTCTGGCTGCAGTTGCCCAAGGCAACCCCAAGGCCCTTCTGCGAAATCAATCTGTATAGAAAAGGACAACCTAATTCTGAAGAAAACATCTACTGTAGATTTCTGACATTTTTGGGGTGGGTGGAGGACAAATTTTCATTTTCATGGGCATTGTGGGTGGTTTTCTAGCACGTTACCATGCAGTTTCTAGGATGTTCTGGGTAGTTAGGATTTGGGGGTCAGAATCTTTTTTAAATTAATTATTTTATTCAGCAAGAATGTATTAAACTTTTATATTTCAAAGAAATGCTGTTGTTTTGAACAAATCTATTTATCAAAAAAATCATCGTTGCCAAAAATATATTAAAGGTGCAATAGGTGATTGTCTTCAGAAACATTTTTTGTTATGCTGGTCGAAAGTCTTTTCACATCCCGATAGCAAGTATTAAGTTAAGTGGTCTAAATATATTTATCTGTATTTATATATTCTGTGGAAGGCGTAGGACCAAGAAATGTTCGTCCAATCAAAACGCTCGGTCCGAGCGTTTTAATTGGCTTTCCTACCTGCCTGTCAACCTATGTATTAGCATACCTCTGTGCACTGGGTCCGCTCAGTCAGGATACGTCATCAGTGCGTTCACACACGCTGTGCAGACAGAGCGAGAATGGCAGACAAACATCAACAACCTGATCTTCCTTCATGGTATTGAAGTACTTTTAAAGTTTTCTCACCGGTGAATGACACATGATGTGGGCAGCCCACCGGTTCCCAATTCAAGTCCTCGCGCATGTATTTTGCATGTCTCGCTTAGTTAACACACCCGATTAAGATAACCAGCTCGTTAGAAGAGAGCTACGTGCATGAACTGTGTTCCAATCGATATGACAACACAGTGTTCATTGCTCCCTAATCCCAAAACATGGGCTGGAATTAGGAACTGCTGATGTAGCCTATTGTAGTAATGTTGTCTGTGGTATTCTGTTCTGTGAGCGTAATATGCGTTTAGGGGGCGTAGCTTTGGACGGCGATTGCAGGGAGGGTGGGATGTTCGCTTTCAGTGCTATCAGTCTGAAGTTAGCATTTTCCAAGATTTCCTACTGCACCTTTAATTAGCTGTTTTCAGCACTGATAAGTGTTTCTTGAGCATCAAATCAGCATTTTAGAATGCCTCCTGAAGGATCATGTGACACTGAAAACTGGAGTAATGGCTGCTGAAAATTTAGCTTTGCCATTAAAGAAATGCATTTAAATACACATCTAAGCACAATATAAAAATAATATAAAAATAGTTTTTTTAATATATTTTTATATTATACTCCAAACTTTTTAAATGGTAGTGTAAGTTTTTGCTCACTCATAAAATAAAAATCTTAAATTTGAACACTTACAAAAGTAATAGCACATCACCCCTCAAATATGCTGCACAATGAGGTAGGCCTATAATTTATATCTGTAGCACCAAAAAAAACAAAAAAAAAAACAGAAAATGTAATAAGAGCAAACGTTTCTAGAATCGATAAACTGCATGAAAACACCCACCATGGTTCATACGTTTACAAAAAGAGAAAAAGAGAGATGAAACATTAACTCTCTGCTGACACAAGCCAGATCAGACAGTTTACACCCAGCTCAAACGTTCAACCTTTGCTCCGAGAGCTGGAGACAATTTATGACTGAGTATTTCCAGGCTGGTGTGGCTCCAGATTTTACACTGCAGCAAATGTTTCAGAGCTCCACAGGCTCTGAGCAACAGAGGCAGAGAGGAAAAACAGCTGAAAGAGAAAGAGAAGTGGAACAGAGCTAGCTGGGAAGGATATCCACATCAGCTGTCTAAAGTTGACTATAACAAAGTGAGTACTGTAGAGCACCAAGCCCTGTTGAGCACCAGATATGTTCTCATTTTCAAACATAAGTATTAGAAAATAAAAAAGATCTGATCCACAAAAGCACAATAAGTAAATATTTTTTTTACATACAGACATAATTAATTGCATATTCTATTTAATATAATAAAATATCATCATTATAATAGCTATTAAACATACTATAAAATTAATTACATATCATATACATGCACTGCTATTCAGAGTTTGGGGTTGGTAAGATTATGTTTTTGAAAGCTGAGCTGGAGTAAATGCAGCCTTATGTTCACCAAGGCTGCATTTACTTAATAAAAATTTTTAAAAAAATTATATTTGTGAAATATTATATTTCTGCAGAAACCACTTTATCATTATTATTATTATTAATTAATTAATTATTAATTAATTAGTTTATTTATTTATTTGATGAATAGAATGTTGAAAAGAACAGCATTCATTTGAAAAAGATTTTTCTGGAAAATTATAAATGTCTTCACCGTCATGTTTGATCAATTTAATGCATCCTTGCTGTAAAAAAGTATTAATTTCTTTCAAACAAGAAATGTAATTAACTCATGTATTTGTAAAATTAGAAAATGTATTTACTGTCACTACTGCACAAAAGTATGAATAAAAACACATTTTCAAAAAAAATTAATAAATAACCTTACCAAACTTTTCAATAGTATAATGTATTATCCACTCATTATGAATATATAATTTATGCAAATATATGTTTAAAAAAATAGTAAATACTATACTCTATTACACTTTATAAGAATATTTAATTTACATTTAACTCCACAGTCTTAACAGTGTGTGCACGTACTCGTTTCCTGTTTTCCTCACCCTCCCCTGACACCAGACTACTCTTCTCACATCCCGACCTTTCCAACGCCACATGAATTCTGCTATTCCTCCCACTGTTGCTTGAAAGGCGAGATTAGAGAGGAACGCAGAGGACAAAAGGGTGTTTTCACTCCCAGCAACAAGGATCTGACAGCAGCTTCTACAGCCCTCTGCTTCATCCTCTCATAATAAGTGTCTGATCAGCACCTCAACATAACTCTGAGCTTCTTCAACCTTTGCTCATTTGGGAGCGGAAAAGAGATTTCATGCTGTGCGTCACTGAAATATGAATGATGCGTAACAACAGCTGAATCTGAATTTGCATTAGCTGGTTATTTGAGGCTGCAACTACACTTAAACCATCTTTGTCCTGGAGAAGATGCAGTTTTCATTTTTTAACAATACATCAAATTAATAATTACATTAATATTAAATTAATATGAATTTGAATTTGTTTTATTTAATTGAATAATTCAACATTAAGTAGCTGGAGTAGTTAACGTGGTGTCATTAAACAGATGCACATCAAGCTTTGTCAATTTTAATGAGAGATCTCGATCTGTTCAATCTAGCTTTTGGCTGTGTTTACTCTTGGCATTAACATGCGATCATCGTGATCCTATCAAGCAGATCAAATCATCAGTCAATCAGGACACGGCACGTTTACACCTGGCAACATCAAGTGACTTTGGATAACCAATCGGATCTCTCTTTCCCACGCAATATTTAAACAAGTCTTCTGACAGTTCGGGAGAGGAGGCGGGGTTTTGCGTGATGTCGACCTGCGAATGCAGACACGATGGCTGGATTGCGTTTACATTACACTGAGATCCGATCACAATGCGTCCTCGACTACCTCTGGACCAGGACACTCTGATCCGATAACATTCCGATCAGAAGCGCGTTTACACTTGTTTTTTTCAATGTGTATGTGGACAACATCCAGACACAGGTCACACGTTAATGCCAAGTTTAAACACAGCCTTAGTGTCCCTCTAGACAGACAGAGTTGTTCTGAAATGAGGACAACAGTGGTTTCCTAGTCTAAAAGGAAATACAACATGTTAAGTATTACAAGGCATATAGAGCATTTTAAACGTTGATAGAAGGGAAAATAATTTTTTCCCCAAAAAGCAAAAAAGAACCTGGAACACATTAACACAGTAAAACAAATAATTAGATCAGGATGCAGCAGTTGCTTTAGGATTATCAGACAGCCAACTCACCAGAAAAGGGACTTCTTGTGCAAGACATCATGTAGCTGCCTCTGGCTGAGTTGGTCCAGGCGGGAGAACTCGTACTGGGGGCTGAACTCTGCAGGAGCGGGGGTGCTGAAGCGCACTTCGAAAGAAGAAGTGGGAAAGTCCACCTGAAAAAACGAGGCGTGTTTTGCTGAAAATGAGCCACTATTTTAACAATGGAGGGTTTAAAAACACAACAGTTAATAGAAACAGTTCTATGTCGGAAATGAAAATGTAATGTCAATGCTACCTCTTTATTTGACCTTTTACTGCATTTCTCAGACAATGTGTGTATACACTACAGTTCAAAAATATCCATTTATTTGAAACAGAATTTTTTGGTAAAATGGGTTTATGATATAAAGAAAACAAACGGCTATCACATGTAAAATTTTCTCCAGCTCATGGGCTGTAAAGATGGGACAAGAATGAAATTAGGAGATTTATGATCCAAAGCAATCATTGAGGTTCGCGGTCACGGCTGGCAGCAGTTCACATGAGTGCTGAAAGCCGTAACCACTGAGGCTTTCACCTCAAACATGCCAAGATAAAGAGATAGTTCACCCAAAAATGAAAATTACCCCATGGTTTACTCACCCTCAAAGCATCCTAGGTGTATATAACTTTCTTCTTTCAGACGAATCCAATCGGAGTTATACTAAAAAATGTCCTGGCTGTTCCAAGCTTTATAATGGCAGTGAATGGGTGTTATTTTTCAATAGCCCAAAAAAAGTCCAATAAAGCAAATATAAAGGGGGGGGGGGGGGGGGGAATAAAGGCCTGGAGTGAATCGATTTTTAAAGAAAAATATCCATATTTAAACCTTTATAAACGGTAATCTCTAGCTTCCACTAACTGTCGTATATGTGTTCACAATAGAACGCCATTCTGGCAGATGACGTAGGCGTAGCGTAATGTCGTGTTCCAGACGAGGTCAGAAGTGGGAACATTTGAGTTGAAATGTCCCACTTCAAACCTCAATGAGTTCGAGTCAATCACATGTAACATTACATATTGACCTCATGATGTTGCCATGACACAACGAGAGCATTTCGTGTTTTTGTGTAAATTGTGGCAAAATCTGAATTTTTTATATAAAATGCTGCTGTTTGTTTTGAAAACATTTAGTTTAGTTAAGTTTAAAAACTAAAATTAAAAAAAAAAATTAAAACTAAATTAAAACTAAATTAAATCAAATTAAAATTTTAAAACAAAGTTTAAGGTATCATTTATAAACTTCAACACGAGGTATCTCCATATTCTCACCGGAGCTTACGCTACGTCCTACATCATCCGCTGGAACTTGACTCTCTCATGAACGCGCATACGACAGTTAGCGGAAGCTAGAGATTACTGTTTATAAAGTTTTAAATATGGATAATTTTCTTACAAAAATGCATCGCTTCGCTTCAGGATGCCTTTATTCACCCCCCGGAGCCATGTGGAGCACTTTTTATGATGGATGAATGCACTTTATTGGACTTCTTTTGGACTATTGAAAAATAACACCCATTCACTGCCATTATAAAGCTTGGAAGAACCAGGACATTTTTTAATATAACTCCGATTGGATTCGTCTGAAGGAAGAAAGTTATATATACCTAGGATGCCTTGAGGGCGAGTAAATCATGGGGTAATTTCCAATTTTTGGGTGAACTATTCCTTTAAATACCACTAACAAAATGTTAACAGCAGAGATCCAATATACAATCAGCTAAAGACAAACTGAAACTACAACCACATGCACCCAGTGACAAAAACAAGTTTGAAATCAAGAAAACTATATTAACTATAAACTTTATATTGAACAATGAAAACCGCTTTAAGAGAAAGCTCATGATAGGGACTTCTGGGTCTGTTTTCACTGTCAGCCAGGCTTGAAATCAGTCAAGTCTTTATTGCCATATGCCTCTCAGCATCACACTTCATCCATTAGCAGAGCAGAACACACTAGAATAATGAGCACAGAAGTCCCTCATCCATTTCATGACCTTCACACCAAATGTCCCTCCATAAAGCAAGTCAGTTCAATCGGCGGCCATCTTGGTTACACCCCTGGGCAGCAATTTATAAATGTAACTTATTTGGAGCAGACAATGCATTAAATAGTTCATGAATTAAAGTGAGGTTGTGGGGATAGAAGTGTCCTTTTTTGTTTGTGAAAACTTAAATAAGCCATCCAACCTGACTACTGTAAATCTACATGCAAACAAATACAAATCCCATCTACTAGCAAAATTTCCAAAACAGCTTGTCAACATTATGCTTCAATAATATATTTCAACTTAGCAATAAAATCTGATGGTATCATTATTTTAGCTTGAATAAAAAATAAATAATAAATTATGGCCATATTAACATTTTATACTATTTTATCTAAAACTACGGTTCTCAACCAGGGTGCCACACACTTTTTTTTTTATTTTACGAATTATTACTTTTAACAATCTACATAAGCCATGCAAGCCCTGCCATCTAGGAGATTCCTCCATGAGACTGAGCACTAACTCGCCCTCTCATTTTTCCCACAGAAAGCAGCGTGTGACCGACCAGCCCCACAGGAGCACTGCACGGACCCTCTGCACTGGGAAGACGGAAGAGAGCACTCACGGCACCGGAGCACCTACCTGGACCTTTCTCACTAGCACCCATCACCTCAATAAATCCACCCTCCGGGGTATTGATTGAGATTACTTGTCGTGTGATTCTTCACCCCATTACACTATATATATGATTATTTCTGTTACAATAAAAAAAATCAACGGTAACACTTTACAATTAGGTTTCATTAGTTAAAAATGGTTAACTACTTTAACAAGAACTAAGAACGAACAATACTTCTACAGCATTTATTAATCTTAGTTCATATTAATTTCAGCATTTACTAGTGCATTATTAAAATCAAAAGTTGTTTAACATTAATGAACTGTGAACTAACAATGCAAAACTGTATTTTATTGCCTAACGTTAACAAAGATTAACAAATACTGTAATAAATGAATTGTTCATCGTTCATGTTAGTTAATACATTAATGTTAACATGACACCTTACTGTAAAGTGTTACCAAGACAACACCTAAAAACATAAAAATTACAAACTTCCAATTATAACATATTAACAATTAATAATAATTTTAACAGATAATACTAATAGATATTAATAATTCCCCCCTTAATATTACTGCAAGTGGTAATCATCTGCCTCTTATACTGTCTTTGAGTGAATACGCATTGCAGTTTGCTTTATGTTCATTTCTAAACTCCATCAGTAGCTTGCAATAATGAATGGTCAATTGATAAAGTAGGACTTGGATCGGCAAAAAAACTAAATTGAAAAGAAAAAAAGTAAAAGAATGTGAAAAATGGGGTCAGAGAAAGAGAGAGAAAGAGAGAGAGAGAAAAGCAGCAATGGAGAAGCTAAAGGGAGCAAGCACATGTTAGGTGGCTTTAACGAGCCCCAGATGTGTCATTAGACCCAGATGCATCTTGGCTTAATGGGCAGATTGCAGGCATTGACTGAGGGAAATATGCCACCTCACACTGAATAACCTGAATAACCCCGGCACCTTAATGAGGGGCAGAACCTACTGAATAGGCACAGGACCAGGCTTCTCTCCCAGTTTAAACTGCACAGCCCACTGCCCTTAGACAAAGCCATGCCATTCGGGCACAAAAGAGCCCTATTGGCACTATTATGGGCTGGTTTGGCACACAGAGATGGCAGAAAGAAGAACGGGGATTGTATAGTAGGAGGCCTGTGCAGAGGGTGGGAACTTCACAGAGGCCCATCCAAGTGAAGAGAAAACCATGCACACATGTGATTTACCGTAAGATTCAGAACAATACCAGCGGGGAGTGCTGTTTACAGAGAGCGGCAATGAAATGTCACGTCTGAATGTGTTAAGAGGATTTTACTGCATCTGGAGGAAATGGTGACTCAATGTGCACAAAAAGATCTGGGGTGACATCTCAGGTGTTTGTGATGATCGTCTGAGTATGTGTGCATTTTTAATAGAGCGTTTCCTGCACTGCTACTTAATCTACAGCCATGTTTAAAGAATTTATCTTGCTACACCACTGTTCAAACGTTTGGGCTCAGTAAGATTTTTAAGAAATTAATACTGTTATTCAACAAGGATGCATTAAAATGATCAGAAGTTACTGTAAAGACATTTATAATGCTACAAATATTTATTTCAAATACATGCTTTTTATTCATCAAAAAATATTAAGCAGCACAACTGTTTTTAGCATTGATAAGAAGAAATGTTACTTCAGCAGCAAATCAGCATATTGGAATGATTTCTAAAGGATCATGTGACACTGAAGACTGTAGTAATGATGCTGAAAATTCAGCTTTGCCATCACAAGAATAAATTACATTTTGAAATATATTAAAATAGAAAACAGCTGTTTAAATTGTAATAATATTGATTATTTTTACAGTATTTTTGAAAAAAATAAATGCAGCCTTCGTGAGTATGAGACTTCTTTTCTTTTCTGACCCCAGACCCCCTTTTAGAACAAAAGGCTCTTTTTAATGAATTTGTCAAACACACAAAAAACACCTCACATCAGTGAACAAATCAAGATCGAGTTATTTCACTATTGAGTTATTTCATTTAATTGACCTAATGACTCACTCAATCACTGAATCATACAGATGGTTTGATCATGTGTGATTCAAAATAAGAAGTACTGTGTTACTAGTTATTAACTGTGATAACATATACATAGGAGCTTAATGTCCTTTTGAAACAAAA